AGTGTGTAGCAGTACTATTAGCATTTTATCTGTCCAATCATGATGCTGATAAGGTGACACAGGAACATAAATTAAATGTTTAAAGACATTTTATTTGGTATGATGAAACGGTGAAGTTGTTTTAGATGACAACAACAAAGGCACACACATAGGATGTCCAACAACACAAGACAAGAGAGATTTTAAGAATTATTTGCACTCAGATGTACCATATGGGATAGAAAATGAAGAGGCTATAGCAAGAGATGAGAGTTTTGCTTTCATAATAGATGATTACAATACAGTATATTTAGGGGGTAAATGAGATGAAGTTTTAAGAACTTAATGATATGCATCATAGAAAACATCATGAGAAAATGCTGAATGTGTACTTGATGAATTCAAACATTAAATCACAGATAAGTATATAGGAATAAAAGTACCATGTACTGTATAATGCTTTACCCTTTCAGGCAGAAATTATTTTCTGACATTGTGGTTTAAAAATCAATATTTATCTGCTTTACCACATCAATTATAGAATTTGCTAGTGTTTTACATAACACAATATATGATCGATTTCTAGAACTTTTTCAATTTATAAATCTGAAATTCTACAGATTGGGAAAAATTAGACTCTTCTTCCTTTCTGTATGCCCTGGTTTCTGTGAGTATAGCCATTTCAGAAAGCACAAATGAAAGAGTCACATTGTTTATCTTTTATGACTGGTCTGTTTTGGTTAGTACAGTAGATCATTAAAGCTCCTCTATAAATAAGACTGACAGGAGAGCCTCATTTTATAGCTAAACAAAACAAATGGACCATATTTCTGTTATTGCATGCTGGGCTTGCTTCAATGATTTGCCCATGGTAGCTTCTGCGATTGTCCTTTTTTCCTCTTCAGCAATTTTTAAACAAAGTTATAAGAATTCAATTACGTAGAAAACAACATAAATTCTTCAAGAGAGGTTGTTAGTGTTTTTATAATGCTCACAGAGGCACCATCCTTCTGACAGTGCAACACCACCCAGTCACCTACAAGTTTATAATAGGGACCCACACAAACGAGTTACAGAGAAAACAATCTCAACCTTATAACATTATTAGTACTATTTAGGATTTTATTTTGTGCTGCATTACAAGCTCTCCTTGACTATGAAGCCTGGAGGTCACAGGACAAATATGCCTGGGAGCATAATTAAAGCAGGTTTGATATCAGGTTTTATGGTTTCACCATTTACCCTTGTATGACATTTCCACGGTCTCATTAAGAAAGGGTGAGTATTGTTTTTAACTATACAAGGTTTGCATCTAGAGAACTTGATTTCACTTTAGACACTGAAGCTCTAGAAAATCCGTGTCTTTAATTTGTAGTTTATTTTCATTATCTACATAAAGTTTAGAATAAGTAACTTCTTCAGAAGAACAGATATGAAGATACAGAGAATTAAAAATGAGGTCTCCACCCAACATAAGCTTACAGCTGATGTTTACAAAGTTTCAGAATAAAGAGGGGAGGTTAGAAAGAGGAACAGTGATGGAATAAGGAAGAGCTAGCTTATAAAGGATCCAGTGAAAAATACTACGTATTTTCTGATTACAAATACAAATATTTCTTTTGTTGTTGAGTATTCAGATAATAAAAACATACAAACTTGAAAAGACTCTTGTCAGTTTTAATCCAATCACTCTCAGAAATACATGATCACTGCTACTTGAAAGCACAAATGTTAAAGAGAGAATTGCAGAGACAAGTGTTCATTGTAATGTGTTTTCTACGTAATAAATAATACTTATGCTGATTGCATTAGCTTTCATTTTTAGTTATTATGTATAGCTCATTTACATACCATATATCCAAAAGTATCATCCATCAGGTAAGGATCTGAGGTAACTAATTTTTTTGGGGGTGTGTTAAATTGTACTGAGATTCTAATATACTATGTATTGTTAATTCATATTTGTATTTCTCCCATAGTATTTGCCTCCTATTCTTTATTAGGTCATCATTGCACATTCTAAAAAGTTATTTTATGTCATCTGCCACAGTAATTTCTTCATTCTTTTATTTCATTGTGTTTTGTGACAGTATATATTTAAGCTATGTGAGTGAAAGTTATCAGTTACTCTTGACATTTGAATCTTTGTAGTCAGGCTTAGACACAGATACAATCTACATGGGTAGTAGAAAAAGACAAGATCTCCTGAGTAAATTGGGAGCATGGGGACTTTGGGAGAGGGTTGGGGGGGGGAGTGGCAGGAGAGGGGAGAAGAGAAAAATGTAAAGCTCAACAAAAATCCACACTGGGTTTTGATCCTACTTCATGTCCTGGCTTTGTGGGAGCCTAGCCAGTTTGGATGTTCTCCTTCCTAGACCAGGATGGAGGCGGGAAGACTTTGGACTTTCCACAGGGCAGGGAACCCTGACTGCTCTTCAGACTAGAGAGGGAGGGGGAGAGGATTGGGGGGAGGGGAGAGGAGTGAGGGGGGAGGGGGGAGGAGTGGGAGGCTGGGAGGAGGCAGAAATTTTTTTTCTCAATAAAAAATGGGAAACACAAAAAAACATAAAAAAAAGAAATAATATAAAGCTGTGATTTGGAAATTAAAAAAAGACATTATCAAATACAAAATATGGAAAACTTCTGGGAAAAAAAGACATCTTATACTTAACAGAGTTAAGCAATAATATCACTACTTTAAAAATATATTTTTATTTATGTATGTTTCTTTTCTTTGTGTGCAATGCATGGGCAAACATGCTGAAAACTAGTGATATGTTTTTATTGTGATAAAACATGTAAGAACCACTTATTTTTTCCTACCTTGTCAATCATTCAACTAAGACCTACTTGATGATGCAGATTAATTTTGCTTATTGAAAACACTAATTAGCATGAGCTTAGTCCTCAAATAGCCTTACCTGATTGAATCCTATGGCAACTTACAGTGTCTGTTGTAATATACTCTGACATTATTTTCCTTGTGACTATATTGTCTACTTCTAATTCTTGCAAATTTATTTTAACTGTTTACTTATTAAAATATTTTATTATCTATTTTTAATCCAGTAGGCTAAATTGGAAGCAATCATTATATGGAAGTACAAAGAAGAGTAAATATCTTCTCATTTATGTTCCCTGTTCCTGCTATGTTTCTCCACCCCAAGGATCATCATTATTCATTAATAGAGTTTCTTGTAGGTTGGCTAAGTATGCATGCACCACTTTTCTATGGCATAATAATAACAGTTTCCAAGGACCCTCAATAATGATATTTTGTTCTTTTTATTTTACTTTTTGATTTTTCAATTTTTATTTTTTAAAAATGGATTTTCCTAAAATACATTTTAATTACAATTTTTGATTTCTTTCTTCCTCTGAGATCTCACCTCCTCATCTCACCTCCCCTATTATGAATAATCAACATTTCTGTCTTTCTTAGAAAATAATCAGGTATCTAAGAAATAAGAGTAAAATAATATATAAAACAAAAGCAAGTCAATAGAACAAAAGAAACAAAAGAAAAAGTCAAATAAAGCACAAGGAACACATATAGGTGCAGGATCCTGTCCCACTCCCCCCCCCACAGAGAGAGCGAGAGCGAGAGAGAGAGAGAGAGAGAGAGAGAGAGAGAGAGAGAGAGGATTTTTACATTTTTGATTTGGAAAAATGTCAATATAGTTTCAGACTTATTTAATAATGTTAATTTTTATTTTAAGGATACAAATAATATAGAAGGCTTTAAACTGTAGAGCTTTTATAAAATTTTATATTTCTGAGAATTTCACTACTGAGTATAGTATTTTAATCATTTTCATCTCTCACCCATACTGATGTCTCCCATTAGACCTTCTTCCCTCATTTCAATCTAGAATTGTCTTGCTGTTTTCAAAGACACACAATCAAATTATTTGCAACGAATATCTGTCCCATTTCTCAATACTTGCCCTCTTAATAAATCTCCTTGCAACACTAAACCATTGAAAATAAAACTAAATATGCTTGAATGCTATTTGCAGTCACTGGTTTGCTTTGCTAGGTAGATTATCTGTATACCATCAAGAAAGAGAAGAAAAGATGTCTGTGCAAGGAGTAGATATGAGCCATAGTCAGAGGGGGCTCATGAGACTTTAACCTTCTCTACAGGCAACACTTGAAGAAGGAAGAAGAAAACTTTCAGCATGCAGAGAGTCTCAGAGGTGCTCAGAGTTACTAGTATGAGAGTATTTATAAATAATTTTATATTCTTTGATAAAAGAATGGTAGGAACTCTATATTATATACTGAAGTGACTTAAAGGAGAATGAAATAAAAACATCACCAATGATGGCCACCAGGTGATACCAATAGATGAAAATTGGTGTCATGTGCAAAGATATAAAATTTTGCAGAAGACATACTTTGGAGAATTGAGGGTGTTAAGTGTAACAGCAAAGACACAGCTATTTTTATTGATAACCCACAGAACTTTGTTTACATTGGACATAAATGAATTTGAGCTATACAGGATCACTGAATATTAACACCATTATCATAACTTTTTATTTATTCTTCACTCTAAATAGTGATCCTTTAGAATTAATTTGCAAACTATGAAACAGAAAAACTTCATAAATATTATCACAGAACACACAATGTCAAACATAAGTAATTAAGGTCATCTAAATAGGCTAGCTCCTCAAACAAAAAAAAAAACAGGCTATCTCCTCAGACCTATAAAAAGGATGAATGTAATCTGAGGAGCATCAACATGCCACTCACCTCATTAGGAGTTGGTATGCTATTTTTCTTTCTGTTGCCATTAAAAGTTTCAAAAGGAGAACAAAAATAATCTTTGGTTCTCTATTGGCAGTCTACACAGTCCAAAAGAAAATTAAGTCTTTCAGAACATGAAAATAGTTTTACAGATCTCAATTCCAATTTTGAATTAATAAAATATTCAGTTATGTAGATACTCTGAAGCAGCTGATGTATGTGCATTTTTTTCCTTGAAGCTCTTCTACAGAGATAAGTAATTATTCATGGGTGACGACAACAGATCATCTGTGGCAGAATTCATCTTCCTGGGCCTCTCACAGGACCCACAGACCCAAGTCCTGCTCTTCTTCCTCTTTCTCTTCATCTACCTGCTCACTGTGCTGGGAAATCTGCTGATCATCGTGCTCATCCACTCAGACCCCAGACTCCACACTCCCATGTACTTCTTCCTTAGGAACCTGTCCTTTGCCGATCTCTGCTTTTCTACCACCACAGTTCCCCAGGTGCTTGTCCACTTCCTGGTGAAGAAAAAGACCATTTCTTTTGCTGGATGCTCAACACAGTTAGTTGTGTTACTTCTGGTTGGATGTACAGATTGTGCACTCCTGGCAGTAATGTCCTATGACCGATATGTTGCTGTCTGCAAGCCTCTGCACTACTCCACCATCATGACACACTGGGTATGTGTCCAGCTGGCTGCAGGGTCCTGGGCCAGTGGTGCATTTGTGTCCATGGTGGATGCCACCTTCACTTTGCGTCTCCCTTACCGAGGAAATAATGTCATTAACCACTTTTTCTGTGAACCTCCTGCCCTCCTGAAGCTGGCTTCAGCAGACACCTACAGCACAGAAATGGCCATCTTTGCAATGGGCGTGATAATCCTCCTAGCTCCTGTCTCACTCATCCTCATTTCCTATTGGAACATCATCTCCACTGTGATCCAGATGCAGTCTGGGGAGGGGAGGCTAAAGGTCTTCTCCACCTGTGGTTCCCACCTCATTGTTGTTGGTCTCTTCTATGGCTCAGCAATATTTGCCTACATGAGACCAAACTCCAAGACAATGAATGAAAAGGATAAAATGATTTCAGTGTTTTATTCAGCAGCGACCCCCATGCTTAATTCTATCATTTACAGCCTGAGGAACAAGGATGTTAAAGGGGCTTTCAGGAGAATAACTTCTAGATAGAGGATGTGGGGAAAAGGGAACACTTCTGCATTGCCTTGTGGAATGCAAGCTGGTACAGTCCATTTGGATGTCAGTGTGGTGATTTCTCCGAAAATTAGTAAATAACCTTCCTCAAGACCCAGTAATCCCACTTTTGGGTACATATTCAAAGGATGCTCAATGATGACACAAGGACATGTACTCAACTATGTACATAGTAACATTTTTTTGTCATATTCAGAACCTGGAAACAACCTAAATGCCCCTCACCTGAAGAATGGATAATGTGGTATATTTATACAATGGAGTACTACACAGAAGAAAAAAATAACGACATCTTGGATTTTGCAGGAAAATGGATGGAGTTAGAAAACATTATTTTGAGTGAGGTAACCCAGACAGAGAAAGATAATTATCACATATACTCACTCATAGGTGGTTTTTAAACATAAAAGAAAGAAATCCAGCCTGCGGTCCACAATCCCAGAGAACTTAGACAGCAATGAGGACAATAAAAGAGACATAATTTACATGGGAAGTAGAAAGATCTCCTGAGTAGATTGGGAGCATGGGGACCTTGGGGGAGGGTTGAATGTGGGAGGGGAGAAGCAGGGAGAGGAGTAGAGAAAAATGTAGAGCTCAATAAAAATAAAAAAAAAAGATGGCATTTTCTGAAATGGTAATGTGAGCATTTCAGAGATGTAGAGATAATGAATTTTCTCCACAATTTTTCCTTTTTATGCCATTCTTTTTCTATTTTCCTCTTATTTTTTATATTTTTAATCTGTTCCATCCAATTGATCATTTAAAATAAAGGCATCTAAATGGAAAGAAAATTGAGCTGAAGAAAAGGAAAGCAAGAGAAAGGCAAAATCTGATTGCAAATTGAGGAGAGGGAAACTGAAATGAAGGAAGCATCTTCCATCCTGTGCTATAGAAGTAGAGAGGGAAAAAGAAGGAATAGGGAAGCATTTTGTCTTTTCTAACATATACAGTTAATACAGAAATTAAAATAAATAAGTATTTAGTGTCTGTGAAAAAATAAAACTAAGACCAATCAAAATAAAAACAAGGGAATTATATTCTTTCACAAACAGTAAACTATGTTTCTACCCATGAAGTTAGTTAGAGTCATTTATACATATATTTTACATTTATTTTTAAAGATACATTTTATAACACAGTACTCTTTATAATATTTGGTTTTTTTTTCTCTTTCCATCATTTATTATCTCAGCCCCCAGCTCCAACAGGAATTCTCTAGGAAGCCATAAGGCAAACCTGCCAGAGAAGCAAGTAGACCAGCAAAGCCGGCAGGTGAGCTTCAGAACTCTCACATTTCCAATCTGCCCCCAGGAAATATTCCTATTGACACAAAAAGTAACAATCATTCCCATAGAAACAGATGCTTCCATGTAGTGAGCCGGACAGGATCGCCATTACAAGATGGCGCTGACAACCTGTCTTGTTGGAAATAAACTACTCCATATTTGGCTATGGCTTTGAGAGCTGCGCGTCCCCGCTTCCCGCATGTGCAGTGGATGAGGATCCTTGAGCCTATCCCGATGCAGTCTGGTGTCAGCTGTTGGTGGCAGCCAATCACAGGGCAACCCGTGTGCCAATTCCTTATTTAAGCGGCTGCCTAAGCGCTCCCCCCCCCTCCCCCGTCCCTTCGCTTCCTGCTGCCTCTCCCCTTCGCTCCGTGCCCCTAGGCTCCCTGTTCCTCGTTTTCCCGCCCACTCGTTCCCTGCTCCCCATCAATCAAGGGCACTCCAGTAAAGCATGTTCTGAGTGGAATCCTGATGTGGTTTTCGTTCTTTCTCGCCGGTCGAGAGGTCCGCCACACTTCCATGATACTTGGAAGTTTCAAACTCACCTGGCAAGTCTAAGGGGCCACTGTAGGAATAGCATGACTTGCACTGCCAATCAAAATTAACTGTCTCCTCTGACTGTAAAACTTCCATCCAAGAAATCCACAGCCACATACTGGCCAATCAGAGCCACTCTCATTTGAATGGCAGGCACCGAAGCCCAAAAGAAGTAGGCTCCTATTTGAAAACAGCCACAGTCTATTACTGTCTAAATATTGCCCTGTGCTCCAACCGCTTGCAGTATATTCAACAAACTTGCCTTTTCGACTCCAGCTTGCCCAGTGACAGTCATTGTCATACAGGAGTGTCCTGCTACACAGAGTTCCATCTGAGCTTGTGAAGAAGATATGATGGAAGCACTCTATACAAAGAGTTCACAATTTTAAAAAAAAGAAGGATCCATAAGCTGCTGATCCAGCAGTCAGATAGTACCTTGTTAGTAAAGTTATAAGAAGATTCAATCAATGTGTCTACCATCAGTCACTGGCCAAGAGTTAGATCTGTATTCAAATAGGTCTTAAGAGCCAGTGGCTTCATGTAAACATGCTTCCCTATATCCAAGCCTTCTGACTAACAGACTTAGTAGGATATATAGCTCTCAACTGATTTTTTTTTCTTTTTTTTTAGAAAAGAAGAAAAAAAAACATAAACAAAAAACAAGTTTCCACCTCCTCCCAGCCTCCCATTTCCCTCCCCCTCCTCCCACCCTTCTCCCCCTCCTCCCACCCTTCTCCCCCTCCCCCCACTCCTCTCCCCCTCCCTCTCCAGTCCACAGAGCAGTCCGGGTTCCCTGCCCTGTGGTAAGTCCTAGGTCCTCCCCCCTCCGTCCATATATCTAGGAAGGTGAACATCCAAACTGGCTAGGCTTCCACAAAGCCAGCACATTAAGTAGGATCAAAACCCCGTGCCATTGTCCTTGGGTTCTCATCAGCCCTCATTGTTCGCCATGTTCAGAGAGTCCGGTTTTACCCCATGCTTTTTCGGTCACAGTCCAGCTGGCCTTGGTGAGCTCCCAGTAGATCAGCTCCACTGTCTCAGTGGGTGGGTGCACGCCTCATGGTCCCGACTTCTTTGCTCATGTTCTCCCTCCTTCTGCTCCTCATTGGGACCTTGGGAGGACCTTGGGAGCTCAGTCCAGCTTCCTTGCTCTTGGATTGGGAGGATCAACATAGTAAAAATGGCAATTCTACCAAAGGCAATTTATAGATTCAATGCAATCCCCATCAGGGTCCCATCAAAATTCTTCACAGATCTTGAGAGGACAATAATCAACTTTATATGGAAAAACAAAAAACCCAGGATAGCCAAAACAATCCTATACAATAACGATTGTCTGGAGGCATTACCATCCCTGACTTCAAACTCTATTACAGAGATACAGTGATGAAAACAGTGTGGTACTGGCATAAAAACAGAGAAGTTGACCAATGGAATCGTATAGAAGACCCGAATTTTAACCCACAAATCTTTATAATGTTTGGGAAATAGATATGAAACTAGTGTTATATTTCATGTCTTGATTTTAATTGAAACTCTATTAATTTGCTATACTGAATAGTAAGCATATTAGTAGAATAATAAGTGATAGAATTATGTGTTTGTAAATTTAAGGGACCAGATATAAAGCTAAAATAAGACATCTGATGAGATCTTTGAATTCAGTGCTACAGAACTAACTAGTTTCTAATTTTGAAGCATCTGAAGATGGGGTAATTCACAAGAATACAGAATGAAGATAATGTCAAAGGATGAAGTCTAGAAAACTCTTCTTGACCTTAGCAGGACACTTGACCTCTATAATGCACATAAGAGTTCACATAACATAAATCACAATAGGTGCCAAAATATACACAATATAGATCATCTTAACATTTTTAGAACTTACAAAATATTTGTAATACACTTAGAAGAATTTTTAATACTCCTAATTGCTGATAATTTCTTAAAATCAGAAGGGAGGTGAGCAGAGAAAAATGTACAGCTCGATAAAAATAAAAAAACAGTAATGAGCCGGGCGATGGTGGCACACGCCTTTAATCCCAGCACTCGGGAGGCAGAGGTGGGCGGATCTCTGTGAGTTCGAGACCAACCTGGTCTAGAGAGCTAGTTCCAGGACAGGCTCCAAAGCCACAGAGAAACCCTGTCTCGAAAAACCAAAAAAAAAAAAAAATAAAAAATAAAAACAGTAATGAATACACAAAACCTTGTGTAAAACAAATAAAAGCTTTAACCCTATTTGCAAAAATAAAGTCACACAAAATGCGAATAAATCATATTTGCTTAAATAACAAAACATTAGATATATTTGCCTTCTGATTAAAATTTTAAATATTGCAATTTCCAACTATGATAATGTCATCATAACTATGATGGAATATTAAGTGAAAATCAAGAATTTACACTCCAGATATGCCATGGCACTTAAATTTTTACATGATGTCTAAAGGGATCTGCTTGCATGTATATTTCCATTCATACTGTGCATTTATTTTATAGGCATTTCTCCTAATGTGAATACCCAATTAACATTACAGTTGTCAGATGTAAGGAGCAGCAAAACTCAGTCACTATCATTGTGTATCTACAGATCAACGTCTGTGTTGAGATCTTGGTTTATCTATGCTTTCTGTTCATCCAGAGATTATGAGCTCAATCCTCAGCACACTCATTGTCAGCTCACAACTGCCTATAGCACCAGATACAGAAATTTCACTGGATTACATGACCATTCTCATACATGTCACACACACACACACACACACACACACACACACACACACACACCACAAATGTAGGCAAGGAGATAAATGAATAAGTAAGCCTTTCAATTTGGTTTACACAGTTGGTGTGTACTCTACAGCAAATTACTTAGATTTGCTTAGTTATGCTCAGCTGTAAAATGGTTACACAAATTTTACTTATCTAAAAGTGATAATATAAACACTCATAAAATATAAGATATTTAAAGATTTCAAGACAATAGTAAGTGGTTCACAATTTGTATAGTGTCTCATTATAGTAATGGGATCATATTTAAGAATCATTACATATGCCCAGAGTCCCAGCACTTGAGAAGCAGAGACCTTTGTATCTATGTAAATCCAAGACCAGTCTAGTGGATATATTAAACAGTACAAGAAGGAATTTAAACCAAGACAATATAAACTCAGAATGAAAATGGAGACAGAGTACTGTAAAAGCAGAGATTCCATGAATCTGCTGTGCTATGGAATTAGAAAAGTCTGCATAAGAGTTAGGTCAATCCTGATGTACATTTCCCTGATGACGAAGAATGTTGAGAAATTCCTTAAAAGTCTTTTTGACCATTTGAAATTCTTCTGTTGTGAATCCTCTGTTTAGATCTATACCAAATTTTTAATTTGGTTTGTTTGGTATTTTGATGTCTAATTTCTTGAGTTCTTTATATATTTTGGAAGTCAGCTGTCTGTCAGATGACTTTTCCCTTTCTCCTGAGGCTGGTCTTTTGTATTGTTACCATGTCCTTTGCCTTACAGAAGCTTTTCAGGTCCCATTTATTAATTTTGGTTCTCAATGTCTGTGCTATGGGTGTTATATTTAGGAAGTAGTTTCTTGTGCCAGTGTGTTCAAGGCTACCTCCCACTTTCTCTTCTTTTTTTTTTCAAATTTTAAAGTCAAGATACATTTATGTTGGTTTAGCTTAGCAGCCCCCAGAATCAAATATCTCTCTGCAGTCAACAAATTCAAAGAAATTACAATAATATACTTAATCCAGACTTTCTGTGTATATTTCATCTTTATGTGGCTTATTTTTTATTTTTTTTTATTTTTTAAATTTATTTATTTATTAAGGATTTCTGCCTCGTCCCCACAACCGCTTCCCATTTCCCTCCCCCTCCCCCGATCAAGTCCCCCCCCCCATCTGCTCGAAGAGCAATCAGGGTTCCCTGACCTGTGGGAAGCCCAAGGACTGCCCACCTCTATCCAGGTCTCATAAGGTGAGCATTCAAACTGCCTAGGCTCCCACAAAGCCAGTACGTGCAGTAGGATCAAAAACCCACTGCAATTGTTCTTGAATTCTCAGTATTCCTCATTGTCCCCTATGTTCAGCTAGTCCGGATTTATCCCATGCTTTTTCAGACCTAGGCCAGCTGGCCTTGGTGAGATCCCAATAGAACATCCCCATTGTCTTAGTGTGTGGGTGCACCCCTCGTGGTCCTGAGTTCCTTGCTCGTGCTCCGTCTCCTTCT